AAATCAACTCAAATCAAATCAAATTAATCAATCAATCAATATAAACAAACAAACAAACCTGTCTGACTCCATTTTACATTTCTCTGACTACATATCCCATCATCGTGACAGTTGTTGTTGACCCTCTTTATTTCCACCTGTGCAGGGATATTCGTATTCGTATACGAATATAAATACCCGCATCTCTAGCTCATCTCTATCCCAGAACAACAAAATTCTCCAATGTACACTCAACTTAATAAAATAATAACTATGTGCCATCAAGTCAATTCTGACTTACAGCAACCCTTTTCAAGATTTTTCAGGTAGAGAATACTCAGAAGTGGCTCACCATCCCCTTTTCTGGGGCAAACTGGGACTGGGCAGTTTGCCCAAAGTCACATAGGCTGGCTGTACTCACAGGAAGCACAGTAGGAAATCAAACTCCCAACTTCCTGCAAATTAAAGTGATGCTAATAGCAATCTCGCTCTGTTATCTGTAACATACTTTCCTCACAAACAGCCACCAGTCACAGGAATGACTGGGGTTTCCAGAAGAGCTTGGGCTTTTTACTAAAGCTTGAGCTGTCAGTCTCACTCTACTTTGGACTTCTTAGGTCTTTTGTTACAGCATTATTTTCATTTTCCCAATGAGTGCTTTAAAAGAATTCTGAATCACCAAAGCAATATTAGGTGCTTTGGAGAGCCCTGATTCAATTTTTTACCTTTGATCAGTTTGGAAACTGACAAATGCCCAATTTTGCTTTGGATTCCAAATAAGTTCTGAGCCCAAAGAATATCCCTAATATATGCCATGCAAACGATCTCCAACGCTTCAAGGGGAGAAAAGGTTACAAGAGGAGCTATAAAAATCAAAGCAAAAAAACTAAGTAGAAAAAAATTAAGTAGCTCATGATGTGCCAAAAATCTGTTCTCAAAATTTCATTTTCCTCCCAATTATTAGAATAGGAATTTCTTAATTTCTTCTAGATTTATTTTGATGGTATCTTTAGGCTTACTTCATCACCACAAGGTAGCTGAAGATGCTGTTCTGATCTCTCTTTCTATTACTCACCTTTCCATCATTGTGTAATCCTCATAGCTGTCCACACTTTTTGATCTGAAAAAAACAAAAGGGATAGAGTTTTCACATGATTATTACCCTGATGACTCTACAATGAAAAACACACATAGACACATATATACTAGCCACCTCATGACTAAAGGCAGGACTACCCAACACCAACAAACATTTCCTCTAATTTTTTTCTCTCCTGAAGACATATATACAGTATTTTTAAGCATTTTCTTTAAATGAGAATGGTTAAAATGTTGGAAAACTCTTCATCATAGTGGCAGATGTTCTCTTGTAACTGCAGAGAAGTCAGATGAGAAGTTAAGACTTAGGATTCCTTAGCATAAGGAGTTAAACAAAAAGATGTGCTACTTCCATATATCTGTAAGAAAAGGATATGATCAGAAATGGCACTTTTCCTTTCACTGGAACACTCTGATTTCATTTCTCCCTTCTTTCAAGATTGTTTCTAGAAAATGTTGGTTGCTCTTAACTTTTAAGAAAACTGATTGCCCTCTTTTCTGAGTCCAAGGAATCTGAGCTCAATGTTAATAAGTCACCCTTTATTGTGTGCTGATGTGTTGACTTCAGTACCCTACAGTAGGTTCGTGAAAAGAGATGGGAATATTCGTATACGAATGTGAATATTCCTCCCACTGGTGGAAATAATGAGGGTGTGGCCATTGTCCGCAATGGATTAGCCGCTCCTAGCAGGAGGCAGGATGACAAGCCTCTCTGCCAGGTTGCAGAGCGGCTAATCCACTGTGGACAATGGTACGATAGGAAGGCTCTGTCAAGCGTGCGTCAGCGGCAGAATGGTGAGTGGACAGTCCAGCCCCATGGGGCTGGAACCTCATTATTTCCACCTGTGGGGGTATTTTCATATATGAATATGAATACCCCATCTCTATTTGTGATGTCCTTTTGAATTCTACAGTTTGCAGCCTACCAAATGACATAACCCGCTAGACTTGATGGTGTGACCAAGCCAACCCCCTATCATTTCCAGCAGAGTACAGAAGAGGATGCAAGCCCTGTTCACTTCTTACCATTTGTAACTCTGCAGAAGGAAAGACATGTGATTGTGCAGTTACATAGCTCTCTACACTTTTTGAAAACCTCCATGCGTCCAGATTACCAAACACAGATTTCCTGATTCCAGTGAGTTGTGTAGTTGCCAAATGTGGCTTCTTTGCAAACAGTACCAAGGAATATAGGGGAGAAAGGAATGGAAGTGGGGCTGCTCCTCATGGTCCCCAATCCCCCTTAATGGTAATTAAATCTGAAGAAGCCCATTGTCATGTTGACAACACATATGAAATGATGAGGAATTGAGGTTATGCCTCCGAAATAAAATATATCAAAAACATGTTGAGATGGCAAAATAAAAGCACAGCTAGTTTTCAAAAAGAGTTGAAAAGACATATTAATCAGAAAGATGTTTTTTAAAAAAACACCATGCTTTGTTTAACATCTACCCGTACCAATTTCACTTGGTTTCAAGATGGTTTCCAATATTAATTCAAGAAGCATATCTCAGTATTTTGAATTCTGTAACCACTTCACATCTTTTGTGGTGAGAGCTGCAGAATATATAAAGCCCTCAACCCATCACAACATCAAAATTTGAGAATCATTTGTTTGCCTCTTTTGATCTACCGGTTTTGACTTCATATCCTGTTTATTATGAATACATGATTCCATGTTCAGTTCTTTAAGCACTGTTTGGGGCTTACCTCTGTACTGAAAGATAGATGAGACACCCTCATGGTAATACAGCTTTTAACCTTTCCTCTCCTCTACCATGACGGAAGAGAATTACAGTAAATGATGGTTACCTTGTCTGTAGTATGGACAATTGATTTGACCTGACGGCCGCTGATGCACTAATGGACTTTGTGGTTGAATCCCTGGAGATATAAAATATGTCCAAGTGAATTGGGGCAGGTTAAAGAACAGGCCTGTATTTTTTTTTCTTCCCCCTTGGCTGACTCAAGTGATAATAGATCTTTCAGTTGTTCAGAACAGAAGATTAAAAGTGATCAATACCCAAATCATTTTTAAAAGTGTTGACTTCTGTAAATTTACTTTAGTTGGAGGGGAAATGGTTCTCAAAACTCATGAGAAGGCTGCTTAAGTAGGGGAAAGTATGTATCAATAAGGCTGGGCTGAAATCTTTATGATTTTTTTTATTTGTGTTTCAGAATTTGAATTTTGAGAAGGGATTTTTAAAATCAAGCACACTGAGCAAAGCCCACATCATAAAATAAAAAATACTATGAAAAATTGATATATGGTGCAATAACAGCAAAATTGTAAAATTATATAACCGATTTTTCCTCAATCTAAGGTTTGTTTTTCTTTTTAAAGAACTTGGCTGAATTATTTATTTACATATGAATTATTTGGGTCAATCTAAGGAGAATGTGCATTCCCTACTGTTAGACTATTCCCTCCTACAATAGGATTTCCTCAGAGATACCAACAACAGAAATCAGTCTTCTGAATGAACCCTGTGTTTTCTGTCCACTGATCAGTAACAGAATAATGCATGCTACATACAAGATACATAAGTAAAGAAAATTTAAAACTATGAGAACCAGATGTCTTTCACCACCTCTTCAGAAACCTGCTACATTATTATCTAGGTTGACCCTTTGTCACTTTCATTCAACATAGCAATACATGGTCAGTTTCATTCAACATAGCAATACATGATCAAAGGAGTGCACAGACTCATTGACTAAAACTAGAGACCACCATGTCCAGTTCTGAATGCTGTCCTCATTCTGAACGTGAGTAAATGGAATGCAGGAGGAGGGAGAGTGTGGTAGTTCCACCCCATTCCATAGATATTTCTGTCATCCTCTGCATGTGAGTGAGGGAAGCAATTTCTGAAGGAGAGAAGTGCCTCTACCCATAAAGGTTCTTCATGTGGTTCTGGATGCTGATTTCCAGCATTTGGAACTGTATGTAGAGCCTAAACAAATACAGTGGTGCCTCGCATTACGACGTTAATTCGTTCCAGCGCAATCGCTGTAGAACGAAAATGTCGTAATGCGAAAATAAAAGCCCATTGAAATGCATTAAAACCCATTTAATGCATTCCAATGGGCTGGAAACTCACTGTCCAGTGAAGATCCTCCATAGGGCGGCCATTTTCAGTGCCTGTGCAGCAAGAAATACATCCCAGAAAACAGCGGGGAGCAATTTTATTTACCCAGTGGCCATTTTGAAACCGCCGATCAGCTGGAGGAAAATTGTTGTTTTGCAAAGAATCGGTTCCCAAAGCAGGGAACTGATCATCGCAAAGCGAAAAAAACCCATTCAGACCATCATTTTGCGATCGCAATTGTGATTGCAAAAAGATCATCATAATGCGGTTTCGTCGTAATGCGGGGCAATTGTAAACTGAGGCACCACTGTAGAGGCAACCACACACCTCAGAAAGTTATCTGCCACAGAAAGAGGCTGATGGAGAGGAAAATGAAGGGGGTGAGGGTGGGACACTCCCTCTGCTCACAAGTTTATTTCACTCATATCCAGAATGCATAAATATTCCCGATGCTGACTGCAACTGTGCCTTAGCTTTCACTTTCCGGGATTTCAGCAGCATCAGGCTTTTGAACTTGCCTGGCATGGTAGAGGACCCCTTCTTTTCACCAAGGCTCCCTGTGGGTTAAATTCTGCTTTCCAGGAGCCCCAGTAGGAAGAAGTTCTATTGACAAGATTTTAATCTGTAATAATTTTAATCTGTGGTGTAAAGGAATTTTCTTTTGGAATTAAGCCTTACCTGGTCCTTGAGGTTTATTTTTGTAGCCAATGAGTCTGGTGTCTGTATGAGTCGTTGCTGAGGTGTTACATTTTCATCACAACTACCCATTGTTGAGGCGTAAATGTAATGTGACATTTGTGGTAGTGTCAGAATTTTCTACCTCTCAGTCTCCACTCCTAACAACCTTCAGAACTGCCCAGAAAGCAATTCCAGGGGATTTTGCAGCCTTGTTGAGTTTGCAGAGGTACCGTTTGAAGGGAATTGTGTCCCCTAGTACTCTGGATTCCATTCTTGTGAGAACACCACAAGAATGAAATCCAAAGCCGGATGCCAAAGATAGGAATAAAATGCATCTTTTCTTTTCTTTCTTGGCCAAAACTCTCACCCAGCCCTTTTGTCATCTCACTTGCTAGTAGCAAAATTCGGGGACATTTCTGAAAATTTTAAATGTTCAGGGTGGTGGTAAAAATTACCTGGTGGTTGTGGTGCTCCTCCTTCTGGGTGCTAGCTGCTGACCACTCTTCCAGCACCCTGAAGGCTTGTATGATGGCATGATATTCTCCCAAGGAGACACTCTGAGATTGGTGGTTCAGCACTCACTGCTACAAAGCAGCAGACAGAGGTGTTGGAAATCAAAAGGCATGGAAGAAAAAGAATCCCTTTTACCAGCCCTTGGGTTACAAATCCTGTACCCCAGTGTTTGCCTAAAATTTCTCAGAGGCACATAAGAAGTTGCCTTATACTGTATACCACCATCCCATTAGTCCACTGCTGTATTGCTTACAGGGGCTAGCAGTGGTCCTCAAGTTTCAGGAGGTCTTTGCCAGCACTAGCTAGAGATGTCAAAGTGTGGTCCTGGCACCTTCTGCATGCAAAGCATACACTCTGCCCTGGAACCTCAACCCTTCTTCTGAACATTGTTGGAGAACTTTTGAGCTAGCCTGTTCCATTGCCATTGTTGTTGTTTGGCCTTCTTTGTGTCTTACTGGAGAAACCATGGGCAGGTTTTTTCTGCTTGCTTTGACTTTAGTTTCATAAGTCAACAAGGAGCCAGATAAAATTCCCTGGCTGAGTTGGTCACCCCTAGCTTAAGAAGTGCATGCAGGAAATTTCTCTCCATAGGTCTGTGCTACTCATAGAAAGTGCTGTGCACAAAGCAAAACCCCTGGCAGATCATATGAAGAACAGCTGGTGACCTCTCCCCAATTTGTCTATTCTTGTATTTGGAAACATAGTCAGGTGGCACAGGCACCAAGTCATATGAAAGGCCAAAGTTGAACACTACATTATCCGAGTAGATGACACCTTATTCTTATTCCTCAACAATTTTAACAACTCCTCATCCCTCTCGGCCTCTTTATGAACACAGATGTCATTTTAATGGGGGTCTAGCTGAAGTGACAAGAAGGTGACCCGTGGGTGAACTCTGGAGCAGGTGAGACCTATCAGTTTCTAATTTGAAACTGGTGTCAGTCTTGAGGAATGGCTGGTATAATCACATTTGTAACTGATATATGCTGCAAACGCCACAAACATCCAGAGTGTGTCCGCTATGGACTATATGAAATTAACAATTCGTGTTTATCACTGTGGACACCAAACTAAATCAAAAGGGGTTAGTTAACAGTATCATCACAATAAGGAGTGAGTGGCTTTGTATGTTTATCTGTCTGTGTTTCTGCACAATAGTATGTAAGAGCAACTAACTAGAGATTGCACTAAACTATGTATTTTTCTAAAAACCTATCAGCATTGAATACAGTGGATTGTGAGAGTAAGATATACATCTAAAAGAGCAACTAACTAGAGATTGCACTAAACCTATCAGCATTTAATACAGTGGATTGTGAGAATAAGATATACATCTAGAAATAGATTTGGTGTAGATATTGTTATAGGTTATGGAGTTAAAATAGCTCTTGGCTCCATATATATCATTCCCAATGTTTGTGTTGAGAATGCTTGAAATTTTGCTTCCCTCTCCCCTCCACCTAAACAAATCATGCATTGTATGTCTAATGTTTCCTAAGGGGAAAACAGACAGGCGGAAGCTGCATAAGTCATCCTACAGAGACCAATAAATTCCCAGCTGCATGGAATATGCCATTAAGGCACGCAACCAATGGTTTGGGATCCAGGGTGGGACAGAGACCCCCCCCCAAAAAAAAGGTGTAAAGGAAACAAGAGACATTTGTCAGAAGGAAATTCATCTCTCATTCAGTTCATTCCACCTGGTTCCTCTTCGCTTGATTTCTGAACGACTGAGAAAGCTCTGCAGCCATGTCAACACAGAATTGTATGCACTGAGGTGACTTGCTAGGGATTTGAATTCTGGCTTGGTTCATTCTTGTTTGGTGTACTCCCTGCCCTTTGTCTGAGAGATATTTCATGCATTTTTGAGGCTGGGGTTTGTGTATATGTGTGACATGTACAAAATGGGAACATGGGACAACTGGTTTTGTAGATTAATGAAAACAGTAGCATTGGATGGGTTGCTTGTGTGTTTCGGGCTTGCTGTGTGTGCGGTTAGCTTCACAAAGAGAAAAGATCTTGCTTCGCACAGGGACATACTGTGTACAAATTGTGGAAAGAACAGCAGAAAAAGAATGGGATCTTGGTCTTGAATTGAAGCTTCTTAAGGGAAATGAAGAATCTTCAAGGTGCTATATTTCCCTGTGCTATATCTCACAGACATCCGCTATCATCTTAAATATCATCCATGGTGAGAGTGGCGAGAGCTTTCTTACCTAGTCCTCATTTCAATATTTACTGGCAATATAGTGAGTCAAGAGTAGAGATGAACATGAACAGCTGGTTTTGCAGTTTGGTGCAGTTAGTTTCCTGACCAAACAGCTAATCCTCAGTTTGCTGTCCCACCCCTTCAGCAGGAGCCCTCTCAGAGACAATGCTCAGAGTATGTGGGGTGGGGAATTGCTGCTGAGTGGGTGCCCATTGGTCAACAAACTATGCCAAATCATGGAACCTGTGGTTCATGCCCAACTCTAGTAAACAGTACAATTCTCCTCCACTCTACCACACAAATAGCATCCCATGTGATGCAGACACTGCCCCCTCCAAGAAAAACAGCCCTCTGTGGACAATAATTCAAGCAATCTCCTCCATTTTTTAAAAGAGGAATCAGAGCTAGCCCTACCACCACATAAGACAAAGCAGCTGCATCAAGCAGCAGTTTCTCAGCATCATGAAAAACAGCTGCCTGTTATTAATGAATGTATGCTTATTGTATTTGTACTAACAGGAAGATAAAAAGAGGTACTTGAATTATTTAATTTGCCTCAAAATAACACTGCTGGCCTCTAGAGTACAATGCTAAAGAGGGGGCTCCTTGAGAGAATATCATGATATCCCTCAAATTTCTGATATTCCAACTCAAGCAGCACAGTATTTTGGTCCACCCTCACAGGTGGAATCATGCAAATCACACATGGAATTACCCATGTTAACCATAATGGAAAGAGAAGTCTGTTGTCCCTCTTTCGCCATGTGAAAACCTTAGGAAGGCCATGTAGAATCTAAATCATGACCTACACTTACTAGAACACATCGGAAGCATAGCAGCACCTGAGTTCATCCAGTTCTGGGATGGCAGATCTCCAAACTACAGAAAAAGAGCAGCATCTAAAAGGAAAGTATAGAAGATGACAACACAGCAAGTGCTTCTGAACTCTGCTTCTGGAACACACCATAATTAAAATTCTACTGAGTTTTCAGTTTAATCTGGGGAAGCTGGAAATGTAAATACAGAAGCTAAGGGTGTCAAACAGAAAGGGACAGCTTAGAGCTTTGGGACATCTTAGCAGTCATGGGATGACACTGCTTTGGAGCTGAGAGGATACTTTGTGAAACTAGTAGAAGATGGGACCTTGATCCAGAAACAGAGATATGTTAAGTACAGTGGTGCCTTGACTTATGAACGCCTTGACCTACGAACATTTTGAGTTGCGAACAGCTCCGTTTGCAAAAGTTTGCTTTGACTTGCGAACGGAGCTTTGACTTACGAATGAAAAAAAAGGCAGGAGAAAAGGGCAGGAAATTTAAATGTACTAACCATTGGTGGTGAAGAGGCTGCTTCTTTGTAACTCTTTCACCCCAACAGTTCAGGAAAGGGATGCAGCGGCGGTGCTGCTCACCTCCCGGCTCACCTCCCACTCGCTCCTTGCTGCCCTCCGTGGATCGAAGCCACCGCTGATGCCGGACACCGGCTCCAGCTCCAGAACTGGCACCAGCGGCTGCTCACTGGGGCAGCCATGGCAGTTCTCAGCACTCCTCGCCACCCTCCAGCAGCAGCAGTGGCATCGATGGGAGGTGAGCTGGGAGGCAAGCGGCTGAAGCACCCTGGCCAGGCTCAAGCCGCCTGGCTGTGGCACTCACAGTGGCAGTGGAAGCGCGGGAGGCTGAGGAGGCTTTGGACAGGTAAGGTGCTGCTTTTTATTTTTGTTGTTGTTGTTGTTGTTGTTTTGCAGTCCCAGCATGGGACTTGCTCCAATGTTTATTTTTGGATTTGTTTGTAGTAGTAGTTGTTGTTGTTTTGTTTTGTTTGCAGTCCCAGTGTGAGACGTGCTCTGTTTATTTTTATTTTGGTAATGCATTTCAATGGGAAATGGAGCTTTGACTTACAAACGTTTTGATTTACGAACATCTTCTGAGATGGATTAAGTTTGTAAGTCAAGGCATCACTGTACATTTTTCCAATATTTTGCACAGAGTGGTTACCTTGAATCCCTTTTTGCTCCAAGGGTTTGCTTCAGGGATGTAGCAAAAGTGGGCTTCCAGACATTGTTGGACTACAACATCAGCCCTAGCCAACATAGTCTTCATGAGAGATGACGAGTGATACAATGCACCCGGGACTAGAGGACCCCATGTCTGTTTTAATAGGAGTTAATGCAGAGGAAAATGGATCAAATTAGAAGAGGGGTTTAGCTCACATTTTGGAGCTGATGGCATATTTGTCGTCCAGTGATAGGACTCAGCTCTGCCTGAATGATCTGACGTACAAATTAAGTCTGTGTTTATGTTCCAATGACCAATCACAAAACAATCCAGGCTAATTTCCAAGATGTGTAGGTGAGGAAAAGTTTGTGCTAGGACAAACAAATGTCATTTGCCACATAGAAGAGCACTGTTTCTGAGTATGATGTCAGCATCATCTCCAGTTTGACATACTGTCTCCCATAATGAACTCAAGATAACTCAACGAATCAGATTGCCATAGGATTCAGGCATGAGAGATAAATAGAAGCATTTCTACACTAATGATGGCTACTCAGAAGACGTTTCTATGAAGGAATGGACAAATTCATGAAGGTCTAGTCTTACAACAGCAATTACGTAAACTAATTAATGGAACCTGTACTCTCCGAAGCAATGCTTATTTTCTGAATATTAGAGAAAAACAAAAGGCAGTGGGTGGCCTTGCATGGACCACTTAAACTTGCATGAATAACTCAAAATCCATTTGTCTGTGTTTTTTGTTTCTTTTGTTTATCTTCTCAATGGAAAAGCCACTGATTTTATGCCAAGACAAAGACGTTAAAAAGAAGAAGAAATGGTGCATCTTGTCTTCCTCTTGCCTGGAAATGAGAACTCTCTTGCCACTTGAAAATTTCTTATCAAAGGGTCTTGTTGAGCCTAAACTGATAAAAATGTAGAATTTAAGAAGGTATTGCTTGCACCCCTAATAGCTCTCTTCTTCAAGTGATGGGAGCAGCTGGAGAATTCATGAAGAACAGCCTGAAATTTGCCAATGTTGCCTTCAGCATAGGCTGCCTGAGATATTTTTTCACTCTGCCTCCAGACCTCTTTCTATCCCAGTCTTAAGTACTAAGAGTGCCAGTAGCTGTCCAAGGTTTTAGGGAGGGATCTTTCTCGGTCCTAACCAGAAGTGCCAAAAGTCAGAAACAGAAAAGGATCAGGTGATCAATTAAAAACCTAAAAATCATGACCTTCCAGCTTGATGCTGCAATGAGACAGCAGGAGGAGGATGGAGCTCCATCTCCTGAGCTGAATTCTGACCTGTTTGGGACCCTCCCAGGGGGTTAAAATCACCCTGAAGAGGTGGTAAAATGGGGGAGAAGCCTGTTGATAACAGCGGTTACCCCCGTTTGATCTGAGAAACTCCCCAAACAACCAGCAGGTGGAAATAAGCAGCTGAATAGCTCGTTTCCAAGTCGTCGGCAGCCGGCAATAAAGAAGCGATAAATCAGCTAATTAACATTGATGGTATCATTGGGTGAGGTATATTTTTACAACTATACTGCTTTATGACTATCCCTGGATGAGAAAATCCCTATATACAGAAAGACGTGTCTCCTATTCCCCCCCCCCCTTATTGAGCAGTGGTGAATCTGGAGAGAGGGAAGAGACACAAAGAGACACAAAGAAAATAAATTGTACATGAATTAGACATTTAATTATACTTCAGAGAAGGAAGTTTGATAACAAGGCGTTAGAAACTTAAGAAAATCTTGCTTTTAAAATTATTATTAGCTAAACAACTCTGAGAGTTAAACTTGTTATATTATGGCTACAGCCTCTACAGCCTTGGCAAAAAATGACCTTGATGAATTCCTCTTTTTTTTTCCTGAGGAGAGACTGAAATATAGATAAATCAACCCTGGAAAGTCTAATCTTACCAAAGTGGAATTTTTAAACTGTATCCTGGGTTCCAAACTTGACTGGAGCACAGCCCGAGATAGAATCAGTACTGGAATGGACTTTCTCTGGGGCTGGATTACAAAGTACATCAGGCCATGAATACAAATATCAAATGAACTATTTGGTGAGCAAGTGTCTTTGAGCCTCCAAGTGGGGAAAAACCTTTACGTCTGAGATTGTATTCAACCCTAAAGATGATCAATCTATTAAAGTGGACCTATGGAAGCACAGTGAGTGAGCTTCCATCGCTTGTCCCAGCACCTAGCAGTTCAAAAGCATGTAAAATGCAAGTAGATAAATAGGTACCACCACAGTGGGAAGGTAACGACATTCCATGTCTAGTCACGCTAGCCACGTGACCACGAAAACTGTCTTCGGACAAATGCTGGCTCTATGTCTTGGAAATGGGGATGAGCACCATGCCCTAGAGTCAGACACGACTGGACTAAATGTCAAGGGGAACCTTTACCTTTACCTATGGAAGCAAGTATTGATAGAATTGGAGTGAGTACTTTAAGTAACTGGACAACTTCCACTTGGAATACAACTATTTGATATCTGGGACATAATGCTACAACAAGAAGAATTTTGGGATGAAACAAAATCTATTCTTCAAGCAATTTTAGAAATAATGAGAGCCCACAATGAAGAGGTGAAATTATTCAATGAGCAGCTAAGGAAGGACTATAATCAACAGGAGACAGGGAATAATGAACAAGGAAATGTGAGGGTGGTGGATGATGTATGCCAATCAAAGGAGGGGCTGGAGGAAATCAGAGGAGAAAATTTAGGAAATCTAAATTTCTAACCCTGACGAGAGTTTTAGAGGTGTTAGGGGAAGATAAGGGGAGATAATCAGCAGATTTAACTAAAAATGGCCTGGAAGATCTATTGGAGATAAATCAAGTACACAAAGAGCCTCGTGGTGCAGTGGTTAAACCGCTGTACTGCAGCCAAAACTGTGCTCATGACCTGGGGTTCAATCCCAGGTAGCCGGCTCAAGGTTGACTCAGCCTTCTATCCTTCTGAGGTTAGTAAAATAAGTACCCAGCTTGCTGGAGGGGCAATGTGTAGCCTGCATAATTAACTTGTAAACCGCCCAGAGAGTGCTTGAAGCACTATGGGGTGGTATATAAGCAGCACGCTTTGCTTTGTATAAAATGATCTCAGATGGTATAAGGGACGGCAGAATTTTTAGAGAGATAGGAATAAGAATAGAGAAAAGATAAATAACACACCATAAGATGCACTTTTCCCCCACAAAACAGGGGGGTGGAAAGTCTGTGCGTCTTATGGAGCGAAGAAAACAGATTATATTTTCCTGTTTTCTTCTCCTAAAAAATTGGTGCGTCTTATGGAAAGGTGCGTCTTATGGAGCGAAAAATACGTTATATGAAGAAAATCTGCATAAATGCTTTAGATAGCATCTTTTATGTGTTAGGAACCTATTTAGTTATTATTGGTATAAAATGCAAAGTTGCAGTTAAATCATCTCAAAATTATATAGATTTGAAACCAGAATTGCTTTTATTAGGTATTTTATTAGAGGATTTTGAGAACATTGTATACTGTGAGAGCAATATTATGATAGTAGCCAATATTGTACACTAAAATACACACATGATTGGTTCAAATGCTTAAAAGATGTAAAGATTTTGAAGGGACAACTAAGAAGACACCAAGACACAAAAACAAATAATGACAAGCAACCCATATAACACAATGTTTAACAAGCATGAACTGAATGTAGATATATTGTAAAACTAATAAAATGTTAATGGGAATCTGTTGGGGGGGGGACCCTAAAAATCATGTACTTTTAGGCTTGGGTTAATCGTGGCTGTTTTAGCACAGATTTTGCAGCACATTTGCACTTGATATGTGGGAAATGTCCTTTTAGTACTTAGCATAGGAGGGGCCCATTGTGACCCTCCAGATATTGTGGGCGGCAACTCTCGTCAACTCCATCTACTATAGTTAATGGTGAGGGATCATGGAAACTGGCATCCAAAGAAATT